TCTGGGTCCTGTAAATCTTGGTATTTGTCTGTTTTGAAATGTTGAATGTGGCATTTGATGCATTTTGATACTTTCATAACCATATCTGTGGTTTGTCTGGTATTCAAGGTACAAACTAGAACTTGTCAGTGTTGATTTCTTCATCACTTGATTTCTTTTGTATTTGTCATTTTTAGTATTGAGATGGGAGATTAGGGCATGGCAAAGCTGGCCACGGAAGCAAACATCACCAGGTGATTACAAAGAAAGGTCACACAACAGTTACGTGAGGAGTTCCCAAAGTCCTGCAGTATTGGGAGAACTCCAGCATGCCTTCAATGGGACCGACCTGACATACGCCAGGTGTGGATCCCAGCACTGCCTCTCAGCAGCCACATAGAGAGGTTCTCCTGGGTCTCCTTGAGATTTGGACAGTATGACAGGATACAAACACCAAGAAGAGCTCCATATGCTGAATTCCTTCATGGGAACCTACTCCACTTTCTCCAGGGTTTCCTTTCTTGCTTTTTCTCCCTTTACTTGGCCTAAGCTCTCCCCGATAAGCCAGTTTCTCCCTTACTCTTCACTTTTACCTTCTCAAATAAACTTAGCCACTGCTTTTTGCTCATTTTGTTCAATATTTTCCTTTTTAAAATGAAGTTTACTGGTACATCTTCGGTACACATAGCAATCACTTTCATCATAGGGAATTTATACTTGTGCATGATATAACTTGATTCTGTTTCCCCCTTCACTTACTCACCTTTCAAACCCAGTTCCCCTCCTTATTCACAAAAGCTTCATTTCCATCTTTTCCTTATTTTCTCATTTCTCTCTCTCTCTCTCTCTCTCTCTCTCTCTCTCTCTCACTCACTGGGGATTGAACTCAGGACCTTGCGCTTGCCAGGAAAGCACTTATTCATTGCTTTCTCTTCCTTGCTTTCCCCTGCCCCTCCCATTTGAAGGAGATTGGATCCAGTTTTTGTCTCTCAGTGGCTGTGCTATCTTGGGGGAATCATTGAACCCTCTGTGCCTCAGTTTTGCTCATGTATTTAGTTGTCTAAGGACTCAATATTGTAGTGTGCAGATGTAGCATGAAAAGCTTTAGCAAATGAAGAAATACAGCTATGATATATATTAAATTATACCTTTGATTAGTAATAACATCAGTACAGAACATCACTCCCACTTCTTCATACACAAATTCCAGTGTATCTTCATATAATCCAGAAGAACTGAATGAAAAGAACATATTAGAGTCATTTGAAAATGTTACATCCTGATGAACATTCTCCATATAACTTTTTAAGTCCTTAGTATTACTAAATTGAAATTACTGAAATAGAAGTGTATTAGACTTTTGGTGTGAAGGATTGGCCTTTAATGGAAAATAACTATTTCATCTTGAGTATTGAACCTAGTGAACCTGGCTTGAGTTTTTCTTCCAGAGGCTTCTATTGTGTGCTGAGCACTGGATAAAGATGTAGCTTGGTGTAAATTTATTTCTGCTGTTATAGATCAGAAGCGTAGCTATGTGTAGAAGTGGGCCGTGAAAAATGCAAACTCAACTTTCCCCTTGAACCCATAGTAATTTATCTCAAAAACATTGTTGAGTTCCCTGAACTGTAGGTAAGTAACTTGTTCTCAGCAGCTTTAAATCTTCTACGGTGAGCAAGCTGTTGCTGTGCCTGGTGCCCTGGCTGCTGCTCTCCCTGGCCTGGAGCTGCAAATACTACCCTCCACACTTCAGGAGGTGGAGGGGCTGAAATAAGATGGGCGGGCCTAGGCAAAAGTATCTGGGGGAAATGTCTCGTAGATGAGGGAAGAAATTCCAAGTGAGCAGCAATCACTCTGTTAAAGGAAAACAGTCCTAGAAGTACCAGAGAAAAAAATCACTTATTCACTCATGCAAACAACATTTGACTATTTTTTACTCATTTATGCTACATCTAATTACTAAGCCCCTGCCTCTTGGATGTGCTGTTCTTGGCCCTGGAACTAAGTGGTGAACATGGTGGAATTGCTCTGCTCCTGGAGCTGAGCCTATTTGTAACACTCAGTAATAGATACACAGGTTAATGAGAGCTAGCTCTTTCCATAAGATATATTGAATGGAGAGGCAGAAAGGAAAATAGCAATAAAACTTGGCATGATTAGGGGAGTAGGGATACTGCAATCTCTGAAGATCAGAGAGGGTTTCCTGGGGAAAATATCTGTCAAATCATTGGTCATTCTAGGTAGAAGGCAGCTTTTACCAAGGCAGCAGAGGAGAAGAGAAACTGTCAGTGCTGCTGCATGACCAAATGGTGACTCTAGAGTGACAGGTAGGGACAGAAAGCAAATGCTCTCGAAATCCACGTTACAGAGTTGTATATTTTATTCTAGGACACTTGGGAGGTAACTATGGATGTTAAGAATATCATGAACATATTTCAGTTGTTAATCAGAGAACAAATTAGAATCCAGAGAATGGTTTGGTAGAAAGGGCTACAGGAGGGAGACTGTTTCCTGACTAAATGGATGGATGATGACGTGTTCTCAAAAAAGAGAGATCATTGGGCTGGAAAGCATTGAGCAGATTTGAGAAATATTAAGGAAGTGATTGCTGGTAGTGGGTGGTGAATGAGAGGGTGGAATAATAGCTGACTCCCATGTTTCTAGTGTGGGAAACTGCAAGGAAGATGATGTCATTCCTTAGAAGATGGAGGTGGAGGAACAAATTCAGGACGAGGAGCTATGATTAGTTCAGTTTCGAGCATACTAAGTTTGTGGTGTTCGTGAGACATCTGACTGGTGATGTTCCATAGATAATTGAACGGGAAGCCAGGAAGTTATTTGAATGAGGATAGCCAAGCCATGGAATAGGGTCTTGCAGAGCACTGAAGTGGGCAACACAGAAAGAATAAGCAGCAAGGAAGAGAAATCAGGGGCCATGGAGGCACACAAAAGAACAGAAGAATGGAAGAGAATGGCCAGAAAATAAGAAATAGTCAATGGCAAATATTGAAAGAGGTCACCTACACTGGGTATACTGAGCTTTATCTATTGGATATAGCAAAGAAAATGTCACTCCCTGCGAAGGTGACCATATATTTGTATTTGCTTGGAACTGTCCCCATTTAAACTTGTACTGGCATCATTATTAGTGACTGTTAGTGCCTATGTTTGGGTAATAAACTGCATCATTGTCATTGGGTGGTGAAAGCAGTTACAGCCCATGTCAAAGATAACTTCAGTCAATACAGGGATGAACTTAAAGAGGGGGACATCAGGTGAGGCAGCTTTTTGAAACTGTGTGGTAAAATATGTTGGCTGGATATCAAACTAGACAAATGTCAAAGTTTCTTCCAGTCCTGGCTAGAGTTCATAGCTCTACATTTTTATGTAATTTGAATTATTAAAAGTTAATGAAAAGCAAGACTTTGTTTCTTGTGTCACTCATTATGTAGCTAGCTGTTATTATTTTATAAAGAAAATATTTTCTAAACAAATATATATTATTATTCTATTTTCTTGAAAATGAGTAATAGTTACTCAAAGTGATCTTCATATGTCCCAAATCAAAAGTGAAAGAATATGGTCTTAAATTAATCAGGAAGACTCATTTTACCTTTTAAGTTATTTTGTGTGATGAAGAATTGATAATAATAATTAGATTAGGGGCCGGAAAGATGGCTCAGTGGAATAAGCGCTTGCCTGGCAAGCGCACTGGCCTGAGGTCAATTCCTGGTTCCACCAAAAAAAAAATGATAATAATAATAATAATTAGATTGAGAGTAAAACTCGGCCTCTAGGAAAAGACATATTCCAACTTTATTTAAACCTTTTTTTGTGTGTGTTTGTGTGCTCAGAGTTGAACTCAGGGTCTTGAGCATGCTAGGCAAGTTCTCTGATCTATAAACCCTAGTCGTTCAAAAGATTTCTTTTTGACAGTGTCTCGCTAAAGTTTCCAGGCCAGACTTGACCTGCTATTTCCTCTGCCCCAGTCCCTGGGTGGCTGGGGTTAGAGGTATGCGCCACCATGCACAGCAAATAAGTACATCTTGTAATGTTTGGAATTTCAGAATAGGATCAAACAAACATCTGTAAGGGTTTAAGGATTTGTATTTAAAATGGAAGACTGCAAAGAATATGTGTATTTCTATAGCATTTAGGTGGAGAAGTCATTAGAAACATATCTGAAAGGGTTAGAACACACAGAGCTATATCATACATAAAACAGTATCTCAGGACAACAGAGAAGTACTATAAAATGGAAATAAGCTTCTGAGCCTCTCTGGCTATTGAGTTAGGTCAAGAATTTTGAGTCCTTTTGGTCCCCTTGCAGAAAGGTGACCAAAGCAAATAGTCAAGAACTTGAGAGCTGTCCAGATGTGGCCTTCCTTGCCACTGCTTACTGAATTTGATCCTTGAAGGTCGAGCTTCCAGGCCCGAGCCGGCCCTACCTTCCCAACATCCACAGCTAGAGGACTCCTTTTGGTAATTAGACACTGTGGGGTTAGGTTGGGTGACTTTTAAGTTCCTTTTTGTTCTTAAAATGCAAATAGTTGCCTTTAAAAAGGCAGGGGAAAGGGATAATTCTGGACAAATATTTCTGTTTGAGAAAGGAGGCTAATGGGAACCAATAAATTGCACAACAGCCATAACTTTTCTGCCATCTAGACCTGTAAATAGCCCCATGAAGAATGCTATAATCCAGAAGGATCTTTTGGTCCTTTTACTGTTTCTGAGGGTCATTAATAAAAGAATAGTCTGTTGCTAATCTGGCCCCATATCACTGTGTAAACTAGTCAGAGTCACTAAGAAGTTCCCAAGTATATTTCAAATACTTACATAGTGAACATTCAAGTTGTCAAAAACCAAAGATCACACTTAGATTACTGGCCATTTATTCCTTGGGTCCTATTAATCAGGCTCACAGCTCATTGGAACTGTTTTTCTATGTAGGCTCCAACTGATATTTGTCCAGATGTGCTTGTATCATCTCTGTTTTGTTTCTCTTGTGTGCATTTGTTTTTCAGTGAGCAATGGCCTCGATTTTGCTTGTCTTTGGAATGGTCACCACCACTTAGGGCCTGAATGTGCTTCTGCTTTCCAGGAACAGAAAGAAGACCTCTTCTTTGTCTGTTTCACTGGAAGTCTGGTAGTAGAACAACCGTTGCATGGGCCACGATTTCAGCACACCATCAGGTGAATGGGACCAGTCTTCCTTCTTCCAAAACATCAGAAATTGAGTGCTTGGAAAGGAGATTTGGCCAAGATGACCCACTTGCAGGCTGGACTCAGTCCAGATACTATAGAGAAAGCACGCCTGGAACTGAATGAAAACCCCGATGTTTTGCATCAGGATATCCAACAAGTCAGGGACATGATCATCACCAGGCCTGACATTGGATTTTTACGTACAGATGATGCTTTCATCTTGAGATTTCTCCGAGCCAGGAAGTTTCACCAAGCAGATGCCTTTAGACTCCTGGCCCAGTACTTCCAATACCGCCAGCTAAATCTGGACATGTTCAAAAACTTCAAGGCGGATGATCCTGGCATTAAGAGGGCTTTGATCGATGGGTTCCCAGGAGTGCTGGAAAACCGTGACCACTGTGGTAGGAAGATTCTTCTGCTGTTTGCTGCCAATTGGGATCAGAGTAGGTAAATGTAGATAGTGTCTTTACTTGGTTTTTCTTTTCCATGGTATTATCACTGCATGTGTGGGGTTGTGTTACTTCACAGGTAATGAGCTTTCATTTTAGAAATGTACCCCACATACCCATAAAAGATGTCTTAAGGCCACAGATATTCTGTCATCAAAAGGAAATCCTAGTTTCTCATGATGCTCTGAAACAATAGAATCATGGTGTTAGAATGGCAAGAGACCTTACAAGTCAGTATTCTGTCTAATAAATTTGGTCATTCATTTAAAAAAAAAACTTTGAAAGTCGGTCTTGTGGAACATCCATACATGTTGCCTTTCATTTTCTCACCTCAAATGACAACAACAAAAATGGATTCAGTAGATGCATTGAGTGTTTTCAACACATAAAATCTTTTGTTTGATCCTCCTATGATTTCAGAATCTTTTATTTCTCCTGAATGACAGACCTTTCTATCTAAATACGTACTAGACATTGCTCCTTGACAGTCTGATGAAGAGCTGGAACTTCCACCTTTCCCAGACTTAATTCATCATTTTCCCTCTTTACACCTGCTCTCCTATCACTTTGTCCCTTAATCCAAAACCCTAGAGTCTTTGACTGCTTCTTGCTTTGGTCCTCACATGCAGGTAATTTCCAAATTTTATCCCTCTCTCCTTAGAAACTTCAAATCTCTTCCCTTTACATCCATTGCATTTATCTTAGCTCAGGTTCTCTTCACTTCTCACCTCTGTGACTTTAGCAGTCTGCTGAGTGGCATCTACCTCTGCTCTCTTCTGAACAACTGTGGTCTGCACCATGGGCAGGTTGACTATTCCAAAATTCTGTTATATCACTCATCTGACTAAGGTTCTTCAGTGACCTGCCATAGGCTTCAAAGTAAGTAATTTGCCTTCTGTACCTCCTGTTTTGTTTCACACACTGTCTTATTATTTGATCTAGGTGGCTACAAGTCTAATCTTTGCCTTGAATATTGGAAGGACTTCCCTGTCCCCAGCCTTCTGGACTCACCCTCAGTCCCTCATAGGGAAAGATTAACTCTCTCTTAACCCAAGCCTAACCATCCTATACCCAGTTTGCCTACTGATTTATACCAATTTCATGGTTCGCCAGGAAAATAGCCTTCATCCACTCCAGCACAATCTTGGGTCTTCTTTGTTCATATTTCTGTTAAACTTCCACAACAGGAATATAAGAATCATTCTTAATATAAATGATATTTCTGGATACTTACCACACACTTTGCTAAGCATTTATATCATTTAATCTACTCCAAAACTTGACATGATAGACACTGCTATAATCTTTCTTTTCTATTTGATGACAGGCTTTGAGATGTCAAAGAACTCACTCAGGGTCACACAAGTGGTGAAAAAGTGGGAGTTAGCCTGTGAGCTGACTTGACAGTCAGTTGCTGTAAGCTAGCTTTCTTGTGATTGTGTGTTTATCTTGCACACTATCCCCCCTCCAAGTGTAGCTTCTTAAAGGAGAGAGCACATGGCACAGTACCCAATCAAGTTGAATGAAAAAAAATATGAATGAATCCATCTCCAAAATATTCACGTTGGCTTGAGTTTTCATAGATATTGTCATTGAAATTTTCATATCTCTTTAAAAGACATTGGCTGAAGCAAAAAATATATGAAAGTACCCTCCAATACCATTGAAAAGTTTTTCTAGGGTAATTCCTCAATGCCTCTCACTACTCTGTGTCCTTTTAAAAATTGTAATAGTGTCTGAAAACCTCACAGCCACTGGCCAGTTTTCTTGTTGACATATTGGGGAGGGCAATGTAATCCTGGAAAAGTATTTGAATATTTTAACACTGTCAGTCTAAAGTTTAATGAGGTCTGCATCTCGACCTGTAATTATATGTACAACATATCATATTTATCATGTGTCATAATTTACATAATTTATAATGAATCTTTATTAGCTTTCTTCACTGATCAGAATGATTTCTGGGACTTTACATTCATCTATCTGAACTGTTCAATCAACGGATGTCTGGCAAGTGTAGACTTTGTGGCAGGGCTTGTACTAAGGCAAACAGGACACCAAAGAGAGCACGTGGTCTCTCTCAGTGAGGACCCACTGTGTAGCTCATTGTCTAGCCACTGTGCAAACAAGTTAACAGCTCCCCCTCTCCCCACAGGATACTTCCTGCTGAGACATGCAGCTCATAGGCAATGGACACCTGTGCTAAACTAAAGGGAACGGTTGTCCTCCTGTGAATGGCACATTAACATCTTTGATTTTGAAATTGGAAGGTTGTGATGATTCTGGAGACTAATTGTGCTGACATCATTTGTGCTACATTGTTGCTAGTGTTCTAGAACTTCCATCTGCTAAGACAGATGATGCAGAGATGCAGAGAACATCTCTTGATGGTGTGTATAGAAAGAGATGAACCATAGGAATGCATTTCATTTTGTATTAGAATTTGGTCTGTGTTTCTATCCCAGGATGTGTCTTTTTTGGTTTTTTGTGTTTTTTTTTTTTTTTTTTTTTTTTTTTGGCAGAACCGGGGATTGAACTCAGCCCCTTGCACTTGCCAGGCAAGCACTTATTCTACTGAGCCATCTCCCGGGCCCCCCCGGATGTATCTTAAAGAAGTAACAAATTCAGAGGAAACAGTCACAACACTTATGATTGTGATAGCCTTAACACTCATTTTTCTGTTCCTCAGTTTCCTCACGTGTACCATACGAAGTTTGAAATACATGATCTCTAAGATCCCTTCCAGCTCTAATGACTCACGAATGTGTAGCTCATTCAGCCTCATACAGGGAATGGGAAGGGATTTTTAAATTCACTTTATAGCTTCCTAGTTAACTAGCTTTTTTTGTTGTTGTTAACTAGCTTTTGGAAATAATCTCTTCTCTCTTCTCTCTCCCCTCTCCCTTGTCTCCCCTCTCCCCTCCCTCCCCTCTCT